AAATCTGGATAAATGTTCTATACAATACAATAATACAATACAATAGCAGAGTTGGAATGGACCTTGGGGGTCTTCTAGTCCAACCCCCTGCCTACACAGTAAACCCTATACCATTTCAGACAAATGGCTATCCAACATCTTCTTAAAGACTTCAAGTGTTGGGGCATTCACAACTTCTGGAGGCAAGCTATTCCACTGATTAATTGTTCTAACTGTCAGGAAATTTCTCCTCAGTTCTATGTTGCTTCTATCCTTGATTAGTTTCCACACATTGCTTCTTGTTCTACCCTCGGGTACCTTGGAGAATAGTTTGACTCCCTCTTCTTTGTGGCAATCCTTGAGATATTGGAACACTGCTATCATGTCTCCTCTAGTCCTTTTTATTAAACTAGACATACCCAGTTTCTGCAACCGTTCTTCATATGTTTTAGTCTCCAGTCCCCTAATCATCTTTGTTGCTAGGTCAGGGGTTGTCAAACTCAAGGCCCGAGGGCCGGATCCGGCGCACAGGGTGCTTAGATCTGGCTTGCAGGGCTGCCCTGGAAACTGTGAAGAACTACCTATGTTGCTTCTGCCAGTAAAAACAGGCTCCTGAGCTTCATTTTTGACTGGCATGGCCTCCTGTAATCCTCTGCCAGTGAAAATGGAGCTTGGGAGGGCCTTGTGCTTGGGAGCCTGCTTTTGCAGGCAGAGCACTCAGGACACCACAGGCGCCCTCGACAATGATGTCGAGCAGGCCACGCCCACCCTGGCCACACCCACCCTGGCCCACCTAGGTCAAACACAACCCTGATGTGGCCCTCAGTGAAATTGAGTTTGACACCCCTGTTCTAGGTAGACCTTATTGTCATTCAAGCTTTATAAATCATAAGGTTTATAGCACCTTTTCATAATAATAACATTTACAAAACTTATGCATTTAATAGTATTTGTGTCTCCTGGTCTTTACGTTCTATGATGTTTATATTGTTTCTTTTGCTTGTCTTACAGTTGTTTCCTGTTAATGTTTAATAACTCTGTAACTGTGCGGTAGGAGATAAAGTAAATATGTAGATTTTCTCCCTACCTCCCATCAATATTTCTTCCCTCTTGCAGAGTAAAGTTCCCCAGGAAAAGGCTCTCTGTGTCCAATGGATTTCTGGTGCCTTGTCAAAGCATGGTTGCCAACAGATCTTTTCTAACATCACCCATACAGAATGCAGCTGTCAATATCTGTCCAGTTTTGCTGTACTGATGGCCACAACTCATAAACACGTATGTTACTTCTGAAAACATCTCAGAATTATACTGTGATAAACAATAGGGTTTTTTTCTTACTTGCTATATCTACTGTTGTGTCCTGCTGTTGTCTAGAAGATAATAATTTTCATTATCGAAGCAGCATTTGCCTATTTGACATGCTGCAGAATTTTCCATAATTATTTGTGGTCCCTTCCTTTCATATGTAGAAAAGTAAACTAAGAAATGCTTGTGTTCCTTAAGATTTTAAACATTCTGATGCTTTATTTCCAATCACAATACAACAAAAAACAGTCAGGTAATAGAATAGCTTTGTATGTGAGATCTATGGTCTAGATCAAGGGTGTCAAACTCAAAGCCCAGGGGCCAGATCCAGCCCGTCAGGGTACTTAGATCTGGCCAGTGGGAAACAACAAAGGACCGGCCCAGGGTTTCTCTGCCAGGACCAGCCCACAGTTTCTCTGCCAGCAAAAATGAAGCACGGGAGGGCCGTACACAGCTCTCCCAAACTCCGTTTCCACTGCAGAGGGTTGCAGGAGGCCATTACAGCCAAAAATGGAGCCTGGGAGCCCATTTTCTCTGGCAGAGTGCTTGGGCACAGGTGTCCTCGACACGAGTGATAGTGAACGCCCACCCTGGCCATGGCCACTCCAGCTGCGCAAGGGGTCAATGAAATTGAGTTTGACACCGTGGTCTAGATGAAGTGTAAACATATCTTCCTTATCAAAAGGCGGCTCATATGATTTTGAGAACAATTGTCTTCTGTTTACAGGGAGATCTGATCCTCACTATTATTAGCTACCTTGGGTTGTCCATCTCAGTCATCTGTCTCTTCCTGTGTATTGTCACATTCCTCTTCTGCCGCGCCAGCCACAACAGCAGCACCTTCATCCATCTACACCTGAGTTTCTGCCTGTTTTTTGCAGACCTCCTCTTCCTAACTGGAATAGATAAAACAGGCAACAAGGTATTTCAGAAGAATATGTGATGGTCTGCTCAGAAGTGGAGAGCGAACCCCATCTGAGGTTCTACTTAAGAAATCTTCATTTTTCTATAGATTGACTGAATGGAGTCAGTTTGTTTGCAAACCTACTTTTAAAGCCTTTTTTTTGTTAGCTTTATGATGGTGATAAATCTCAAATGAAAGAGTTACTTTGCACAAATTTTTCCTGTAGCGCTGCTGGTGAAAGCATGAATGTCAGATATGATTTGTTCCATTCCTCTGCTTTTTGTAGCCTATTCTTGATTTTCTTTCAAAACCAGCAATTCATGAATCAGATGCTGATAAAGGAATAACGTTCTATTTTTGATTCAGATCCTGTGTTCGGTCATAGCTGGAATGCTGAAGTATCTTTATTTGGCCTGTTTTGTCTGGATGTTCTTGGAAGCTATCAATCTCTACTTCATCGTCAGAAACTTGAAAGTGGCCAATTACAGTGGGGCCAGCAAGTATATGAAGATATGCATGTACCTCATTGGTTATGGGTCCCCTGTCCTGATTGTAGCTATTTCTGCAGCCATTAAACCTGGAGCCTTTGGGACTCTGTATCAGTAAGTATGGTTAAAAGCTGCTTCCCTAAGCCAGGTGCCACCAAGATATAAACTACATGAAAACAATTGCTAGTATAACTCAGGGAATCCAACTCTGTACAGTACATTGAAGTGTTTGCATATCTGTCTAAATTTCTCCTGATGATATTTCTCTTTCTTTAGCTGCTGGCTTGATCCAGATTTTATCTGGAGCTTTATGGGACCTGTCTGTGTAATAATTGGGGTGAGCAAATATTGTCTTTTATTCTTTATAATTGAGAAATAAAAGAATTTTATAACTTTTTTCCTGAAATGAGAAAGAAGAGAAAAAGATCTTGATCTCATGTAGCTAAAATGGATACATCAGCCTTGGTTGGTCTTTCTATATTTACAATGTGTTGGGAAATGTTCATACATTTTTGAAAATGCAGGAAAAATAAGTTATTTCTGCTACACAAGGGAAATTAATTAATTCTAATATTTTGCAGAGAGCTGCAATTTTATATTAAGGGATAAGGTTTTAGGGAGAGAATTAAAAGATGAATTTGAGAGTGAAAAGATAACCCATTTTGTGCTGATTTGCAGAAATTTCCATCATCTATAATTAAAATAGAGGTAGATGGCCACTCACTCACGCAAGTGGGTCAGCATGCAAGTGCGTCTCACCCACCACCTATGTGGCCTGGTTATAACAGGACCACAGCCTGGTTCTAAATGTGCCACAGCCCGGTTGAGGGTTGAGGACCCCTGATCTAAAACCAACAATTGTTCTCTCTTCTTCATCTTATTTAGTCTTAGAACATTATCTATCTGCTGTTGTTATCATTACTTTATTTCTTTCTGAATATTTTTTTTATCCTCCCAAAGGTCAACTTGGTGTTTTTCTGTCTTATTCTGAAGAATCTACATACAAAAGTGGCATCTCTCAATTCAGAGATATCTTCAGTCAAAAATACCAAGTAAGATCTATCACAAAGCATGAAGTGTGGAGTACAGTTCAGTGTGATCCACGCAAAGAAAATAATAATAATGTTTCAAAATTCTTTTTCACAACAAATTGTGAGGTAGAAAACTTGCACAGTATAAGAAGGACATTCGGGAGCAAATGTAGAAAATCATGTAGTGGAGAATGGTGCTGAGGTCTTTGTATGCATGAGGTGGGCAAAATTTGGCAGAGGGATGAATTGTTTAGAAACTATCAGTAGCAAAAGGGTCCTTTTCATTATGGAGATTAGCATCTTTTGCCCCATTGAGTTAAAAATTGTAGCATCTAAGTTGTTCCTCCATTTTGCAGAAATATCTTATATGGATGCATGCTGGCTGGGCATCTGTAGAAGACAATGACATACTGAAGCATAGGTGCAATATGAAGTAGGATGTCTCAATATTCATTGATTTTGTCACCAAAATACATTATATTGCCAAAAGTATTCACTCACCCATCTAAATAATCAGAATCAGGTGTTCCAATCGCTTCCATGGCCACAGGTATATAAAATCAAGTACCTAGGCATGCAGACTGTTTTTACAAACATTTGTGAAAGAATGGGTCGCTCTCAGGAGTTCAGTGAATTCCAGCGTGGAACTGTGATAGGATGCCACCTGTGCAACAAATCCAGTCGTGAAATTTCCTCGCTCCTAAATATTCCACAGTCAACTATCAGCTGTATTATAAGAATATGGAATGACAGCAACTCAGCCATGAAGTGGTAGGCCACATAAACTCGTCCAACATCAGTGCGTGACCTCACAAATGCGCTTCTGGAAGAATGGTCAGAAATTCCCATAAACACACTCCTAAACCTTGTGGACAGCCTTCCCAGAAGAGTTGAAGCTGTTATAGCTGCAAAGGGTGGACCGACGCCATATTGAACCCTATGGATTAGGAATGGGATGTCACTTACAGTAAGTTCATATGCGAGTAAAGGCAGGTGAATGAATACTTTTGCCAATATAGTGTATCAAACCAGTGACCTTATTCTTGGAAATTAGCAGTAGATCAGGGATGTGCAGTCACTAGAGGCAGGCGTGGCCTCACAATCATGAGGAAAAGGAAAGAATTTAAAAGAATTTTAAAAAAATAATTAAAGCCAAGGTAGTTGCTACCAGATTCTAAGTCACAGTGACTTGGAACAGTGCTTAGTGTTAACTGTAGGAGGAGGCCAGAGAACTAGGGGCCTCTTTTGCATAAGGAATTTTTCACCTTTTAAGAATTAACCAAGGGTTAAAAAGCGAAGAATTCCTTATGAGGCACGTTTTCTCTCGCTTCCTGTAGAGGGCATTTTTAGAGGCTTTTTGGAGTTCTCTGGGAGCAACTAGCTCAGTCTTACTCAGAGTTCTGGCCTTTCATGAGGGCAGAGTTGAAATTCTCTCTGAAACAGCTGGAAAAGGTGCGTGTGTGAGGAGGGGGGAGGCATTCAAAAAGTTTGATTGCATGCAGAACCCACATTGCCTTTTCAAACACATACACACAGACACAGCTTGATAAAAGTATATAAGCCCAGCTTCACTGAAAAGGCAACGTGATTCACCTGCAATCAAAGGCTTCGATCGGAAGGCAGCAGAGGAAGCGGGGGTATGGCTGAGGAGCTGCTTTCAAGCCTTTGGAAAATATATCCAATCCAACTTCTGTGTTTGTGTTTGTTTGAGAATGAGTGAGTGAGAGAGGGATCCAAGTTCTCTGTGTGCGTGTGTCTGTTTGAGAGAGGGGGGAGGGAGGGAGAGAGGGAGGAAGGAGGGGGAGGGAGAAGAAAAAGAATGGGAAAACTTATTTTGCAAGGGGGAAAAATGCTGTTGCTTTAAATTGGAACTGAGTGTGCCTGGCTGTGGAATTCTGGGAGTTGAAGTCCACAAGTCTAAAAAGCTGCCTCACCAGTCATAAAACTCACCGCACGTCACTGCAATAGATGTAAGGAAAACTTTAAATGATTGATAATGGCCTACTGTACTAGTTTCCCTTTCTTCCTCTTCTTCTTCTTCTTCGACTAGGGCCACAATCAACTTTAGCCACTTTTCATTGCTCCACATATTTCATTTATATCCTCTCCTGTGAAATGAAAGTTCTGGTTTCATTCTATCACAGTCAATTGAGGGAGAGAAGATTAGCTCAGATCAGGGCTGGGCAACTATGGCAACTTTATGACATGTGGACTGCCACTCCTAGAACTGAGTGATGCTGGCTCAGGAATTCTGGGAGTTGAAGTCCATAGGTAATAAAGCTGCCATAGTTGCCCAGCCCTGCTTTAGATTGATTCAGATGCTCTCTTTTCAGCAGTGTCATTTCTCTGTTAATTTCTTACCTTTGTTGTAGGTCACTGATATTTAAGGCTATAGGCCTTGTGTTCATCCTGGGTGTGTCCTGGTGTTTTGGCCTCTTTCAACATGGCCCTGTGGAAAACATTATGGCATATTTGTTCACCATCACCAACAGTGTGCAAGGAATCTTCATATTCCTGGTGTACTGCTTACTCAACAAAAAGGTGTTGTATAGTGGTGTTTTTAAACCTTTTCCCTCCCTGTGGTACCCTATCTAAGTCGCATTATTGATGAAAAAGATTGCCACTTTCCCAGTTTTTATATATCTCAGCCTCCTGTTATGTGTTCTTCACTTTTGTGCACCTTGAAATATCCATATGGCCCCTGGCTGAGAATTACTGATGTAGAAAACAAGAGAGGGTTGCCCAGGAATGTAAGTTACGACACACATAACCTAATATTGCAAATTTTCCAGACTGGGTTCAGGATTTTGTGAGCTCCTGGTACAAGATTAGTCAGAGCCATCTCCCACTCCCAGTTTCTGGTCCATGCTTGAGATAAAGAATGTGGTAGTAACAAATGTTACTTCAAATTCATTTTGCAAATGAATTGAACTGCCCTTGGCATAAATCCTTCCCATTGTAGTCAGCAGCAACACCACTGACTGGTATGGAGTGGCATATTTGCTTCCCTTGTGGAACTAAAAGCCATATTTGTAATGCCTATAGGGAAATGTGTTCATTTTTCACTGAACATTTCTGAAATATTACAAAGAGGTGGGGTGTTGTTGGTTTTTGGGATGCTTCTTTGGTAAATATAAAGGGACTCCAAGAATATGTTTGTAGGCTGCAGATTTTGGTCTTGTACCTGAATCAGAGGTGGGTTCCTACCAGTTCAGACCAGTTAAACTGAACCGGTAGCAGTTTGGTGGCCTGGGTTGCTGGAACCAGCAGTGACCCATGCCTGCCATGCCCCCAAAACCGGTTCTTCTACGGGGCCACAATCTTGATTTTCGGTTCACTTTTTGTGCGCACTGAACCGGCAGTAATGCTGGGAGCACCCACCCCTGATCTGAATTAATCTATATCTCGTGGGTAATTATCCATCCTTTTAGCTAGTCTTTTCAGAAAGCACAGGTATTATTTAGTCTCTCTGTGAAGTTTAGTAGAGATTATAGACAGATCAGTAACGGAGTTTACTAAATGGCTGTCCAAAATATGTATATTTCCTTTATTTTGGTATCTTGTTAGCCCATCATTATACAACCAGACATTTCTGGAGGTTTTGGAAATGGCAAACTTTTCTTTTTAACTTTTCTTTTTAACTTTCCTTTAGAGAATATACGCAGACTAGGGAAATAGAAGAGGAAATGCTTCTCAGCAGACTCTTTGCAATGGGGACACTGTGAATTAATTACTTTGATTACATATACACAAACAAATCCACAGCCCAAATTGTAGCTGATTTTATTTCTTTGTTTTGAATTATTTCACATATAGATAGTTCTTATTTAGTGACCGCCTCCTTTAGCAACTTTTTTTTTTTTACAACAGTGATGAAAAGGTAACTTGTGACCAATTCTATCATTTACAACTTCTGCAGACCTGTAAAGTAAAGGAAAGTGGAAGTAGGGTCTTGAGCACAGCACAATTTCACTTAGCAACTACTTCACTTTAAGGCCAAGTTGTCAGTCCTGATTACGGTTGCTAAATGAGGACTTCCCGCTTTCATAGAAGACTAGTAAGATGCTTCCTCCTACTGACTTTGAATTTTGGACTTTCAGGTGAGAGAAGCATACTGGCATTGGATCTGTTGCATCAGAGAGCGTCCACCTGAGGCTTCTGAGATCATAGTGACCTCTTTCCCCATCAGCAATCCTTCAGTAAGCATGATCAAAACTTTTGATTGCAATTCTATGGCATGGGTAAACTATTTCTACAGCACAATATTGGAAGGATAGATACGTAGTATAGCCATGATGGCAAACCTATGGCATGCATGCTGGACGTGGTAAGCAGAGCCATCTCTCTCGGCATGCCAGTTATTCCCATTGCTCTTCTGGGTTCCAGCCAGCTGGTCTTCACGTGCCCAGGAGCACATGTGCACCCTGGAAAGCTGAGCCAGCTGGTCTTCGCACATGCATGCACGCCAGAAACTGGAAACGTAGCTTTCAGATAACTGCTATCCTGTTTCTGGTGCTCCCGCATGTGCACATCGGGGAGCTACTTTCCTGGGTTTGGGAGCTCCGCCCTGTGTACACGTGCTCCTGTTTTGGCACTCAGGGCTGAAAAGGTAACTTTGAGCAGTCACTAAATGAACTGTTGTAAATCGAACACTACCTGTAGTTGGTTTAGTTTGGTGTTGCTGAGAATTAGTTTCTCCATTATTTTCACTAAAAGGCTTAGAAAATGCACAAAGGGTTTGAATTGGATCATCATCTGTCTAAAAAAAGAAAAACCTCTCGAAGTTATTTGTGTTTTGTTGAAATGGTGTAGAGGTCTAATATTTCATGGAGGGTTCCGAGGCTGATCATTTATATGTTTGAAGATAAAAAGCCTAAGTCTATGATGGCGAACCTATGGCATGGGTGCCAGAGGTGGCATGCAAAACCCTCTCTGTGGGCATGAATGCTGTTGCCAGCTGTCCTTCTGGTTTCCAGCTAGCTGGTCTTCGTGGGTTCCTGAGTGCTAGAAAATGGCCCGAAAAACAGCCAAAAATCCAGGCTGTTTTGGGGCTGTTTTTCAAGCAGGTTTTTGGGCCATTTTTCCACACCTGCCAGCTGGTCTTCATGGGCACCGGAGCTCCAGAAAACAGCCTTAAAAAGGGCCCAAAAGCTGGCTGTTTTGGGGTAATTTTCAGGCCATTTTTCAGACCCTGTTCAGGCCATTTTTGGACCAGAAAACGGCCTGAAAATGGCGCAAACAATGGCAAAAAACCCAGAAATACGCGTCCTGGCCAGCTGGTCTTTGAATTTTCAGCGCGCCGGCACGTGCAAATGCACATGCATGCACGCATGTTCCAGTTTGGGCACTCAGTGCTGAAAAGGTTTGCCATCACTAGCCTAAGTGATTCTACACTTTTTTGAAATGATCAGTAGATTTACTGGAAATATTAAAAGCATCTGATCAATGGTTAAGAATGGAGAGGTTGCTGGGAAATATGTATGTGAAAACCAGCAAAGCTCCCCTACCTAGAGTTGGTTTCCCATCTCTTGCATCTAAGGCTATGTGGCTCAGGCTATCACAATAAGCCATAGTTTATTTGTTTGGACAATTATTATTCAGAGATAAGGTTGCATTTTGTCTACTTTCGTTTGTTGCATAAGCTTAAGCTGAGCCTTGGTTTACTATGTTGTGTTGTTTTCATATTTAGTTCATGACCTAATAAAAGCTGGTTCTTGGTGTGTTTTTTTTCCAGACAAATGTACCAAGTGCTACTGCAGTAGTTGACCAGAAAGTAGAATGGGGGAACCCAACATAGCTCATTGTCTCTCTTTTGGACTCTTCTTTTCAGTGTGAACAAAACTGAAGTAAAATTGAATATACTAAGCCCTTTGTTTTCTTGTTGGCTCTCAGCCCTTTACTGCAACTTGAAATCCAGACCCATGCTGGAAACATAACTTTTTGATCATTCCCTATTTTCATTGCCATTGTCTGTCTGTTTTTACTATAGTATATAATGTATATAGTATATGCTGTATATAGTATATATAGGACAGTATTCTGCTCTTTCATATTCAAGTATTTCAATTTTGCAAAGGACATATTTAAAATGTTTTATACAACCCTAATACAGCACATTTCCAGCCTTTTTCTGTACATTGCTCTTTTAGGGAATGTCATGTTTACTAAGGCTGAACATGGGTTGAAGGAATACAAAGGATGTGCCAACATAACAGTATCTTGACAGCAACATTCCTCTTCATAGTGACAGTGTACTTTTAAACTAATCAATAGATTCATTTTTTTGTGCTGCCAAAAAAAAGGATTTATTGTAGTCCTAAATTCTTATCTGTGGCAACATAAACACATTGAAAACTACAGACATATTTGCTTAGAGAAGGAAAACACAACTGAAATAGTCCAGAAAATCAAAAATGTCAGTTTGGAAATGATCCAAGAATGGTCAGTTTTCAGACCAAAATTCTGCTAGGTTATCCAAGAAAGTCAAAGCACCATACAGTTAGGCTAGAAGGAGTTTGGATATATCTGAGGATGGGCATGAGTAATGTTGATTGCCACAAAGAGCCAGTCAAGCCACAGTTTCCTTTATATTACTAGCCATATTTCTACAAGATGAACCAATTAATATGGCTAGTGAGATATACTTCTTACTTTCAAGTGGATGGCTCAAGTTCCTTTGCTCTTCTCTTGTCAACTTGTGGTGTCTTCCTGGGTTTGGGACTTACCTAGCTCAACTTCTGTATCAACTGACTCAGCCTACACTGACTGACCATGTACCTCCTCTCTTCAGCCAATCCCTGTGGTTGAGGCTGAGACTCAGATTGGTCAAGCTCTTCTACTTCTGAACCCAAAAATTCAGGCTAATCCTTAACACACACTGAGTAAAGATTAGATGATTCTACAACCATACTGGTACAAAAATAGTACAATTAATTAGCAAGAAACAACTTGATTCTTCCAATCCTATCAATCCAGATGGAGTTGAATATTTAGGGATAGTTTATAAAAGGTTGGTGTTAATTTTAAACTGCAGTCAAGATCTTTTTCTATATAATTAAAAATGGAACTTGTGTCATAGCAACAACTTTCATTATCATTGGATGTAGGAATAAATTATTCTTAAAATGTTTTAAGCAATTCTCATACCCCCCAAACCCTAAATTTGCATTTTTCTTGGAACAGCCATAATGCATTGTAAACCTACACTGAGTTTGGAATCAACTACTGTTCTAAGATCTTATATTGTATTTTGAGCACTCTAATACATCTAATAAATACAAAGAAATAAGACAGATCATTTTATTATCATTTTATCTGGTTCAACATTAATTGTTGATCCAAATCTAGTTAAATATTTCTCCAGGTGCTGAAGGCAGCTTCTCTGATGATCTCTTTATTATTTTATTCCAAAACAATAATGCTGTGAGATAAAATTGAGACTTTTGAGAAAAAGTCAGCTATTGAGTTTCATTGCTGAAAATATTATTTGGCTGGATCTGGATGGATCTCCCTGCTTCTAGGTCCGATACCTTAAGCCAGTGGTCCCCAACCCCCGGTCCGTGGACTGGCGCCGGGCCGTGGAGTCCCTGGCACCGGGCCGCGCAGCGGCCGGGGGCCATGATCGCTGCAGCGGCAGCGGCCGGGGGCCATGATCGCTGCAGCGGCA